GGCTGGCAGGAACCATCCCTTCATAGAGTTCGGAACAGAAGCTATGTCGTCTACATGCTAACCAAACAGTACCTGTGCGACGACACAATGGGAGGAGGGCACAGTCTCAATCCCCTGGAGAGGTCCCTTCACTGTTCGTAGTAAAATCCGTCTGATCCACACAGGGAGTGGATGCTGCCTGTCCATGCACAGGGGAAGATGGAGGTTCAGCCGGATTGCTCTCTGGAGGCAGTAGTGCTTGCGAGTGCTCATCGACATACTGTTCCTGATGGACAAGTCTGCGTGTTTGTGTTGTAAACTGTCACCACAACAACCCCTTTTCCTTTTTTTTTAAGTTTTTTTTTTTTTTTTTTTTTTGAAGGTCCATGTCGTGGTAGAGGGTGGATGGTAGGCCTCGGGAGGTGTCTGTCGTCGTACTCAACCAGTGAGAGGATCGTATGTGGCTTGCGACAACCCCAAGGACAGTCTTCCTCCAGGGGGTGTCATTCGTGACCTGTTATATCCTAATCTTATCGCAAGTCGTTTCCACCCAGACAAGTGGATACAAAGTGAAACAGAATTACCTTGCATTCGCTTAGAATCTTCTATAGCAGACAACATGAGGCACACTGAAACCATTGAATTTTCCTTGTGTCTGTGCAGGGTTTTTTTTTTTTTTTCACGGATCACTGATATTAAACTGATCAGAACTTCGCTTTCCCTACTTTGGATTTTCTTTTTGTGTGGTTTCTCTTTCATTTCTTCTTGCAGCTCCAGATTCGCTGTGTCTTCTCAAGTACAAGGCTCGCCATGTTATGTGGTTGAGCGCGAGCCGCCCACGTCCCTGTATGCGATAACGGCTTGCGAACGCCTCTACTATGTAACATTACGTTACATCAATTGGACAAATACATATATGAGACCCTAAAGGAGCAATACGACAAGCACGAAGTGGCAGACACGCCCACTTGCATGCTATGAAAGAGGAGGTGGAGTAAAGGGAGAGGGGTATATTTTCTGTTCTCTTCATCGTGCTCATCCGCATGCCTTTAGTAGCTCTGCACAGGGGGAGGGAGAAAGGGAAGGGGAGGGAGACGGGGAGAAGAAGAAAGAGAACAGGGGAAACACGAACTTTCACAGAGTTCTCAGTACTCGCAGGCAAGATCAGACTACAATTTATTCGCACAAGAGGCCAGACAGTATCTTTTTTTTTGGGTTGCCTAGAAAACAAAAAGTTGCGGAAACTGTGTCACCTATATGCTAATAAATCCGTTAAAATTGGAACGATACAGAGAAGATTAGCATGGCCCCTGCGCAAGGATGACACGCATAAATCGAGACATGGTCCAAATTAAAAAAAAAAAAAAAAAAAAAAAAAAA